CGGATTAATTTGATTTCCATTATTTCTTATGGGGAAAATTAATTCCCATAACGATAATTTCGCATAACATTGAGATCTCAGGAACGGATTAATAGCGTTATGCGGGGGTCCACTGTATATATCAGATTTGTATGTTATTTATATTGTTTATTATGTCATATTAGATGAAGTGAGATAGATAAATAAGCCGTAGACTTGATATTAGTGAAATTATTGAAGTACAGAATTCCATCTGGAATGGTTTAATTGCATTTGAATTAATTTAAATGAGGAAAATTGACTCTGCAAACAAGCAAATCCAGTTGCGAGCAAGGCCATGGAACGGATTAAACTCACAAGTAGTTGGTTCCACTGTATATGCCTCTCTTTTGACCAGTGAGATGTTTTAATCTATTGTTCATCCATTTAGGATCATTTTTGTTTGATCTGATTTCTCTATTTGGAACATAAGTTGTATGAGCAGCTTGAACTGTGCCCTGGAAAACGTCATATCGGCAATCATCACCACCTACCTGACCTATAGTCAGGTTATTCCAGTTCAGCCCACCCAAGTAATTTTTCAGCCCTATGAAATCAGCCAAGCGGAAGTCAGGGACAGAGACTTGATTGCCATTATTCGGGGAATTCCATGATATGTTAAAACTGAGTGATTTGTCATCACTTTCCCCAAGCTCATCATTAACCTCAAGATTATCAATTAGCGTTTCCCTGCTGGCAAGAACCAAGTCAAGCAGGTTATTTCCTCTAATTGGTTCTGTCACAAACTGTTTTAAAAAACAATCCTGAATCGTATCAAGAAAGTCACTTGACTCTAAATTTCCTGTCAAATTGCTCCAGTCAATCTGTCTATAGTTGAAATATCCCATATCACAACATTTTTGTATGTAGATGCCTTACGAATTTCATCCCATAAAAGTTTGGCAGGGTATGTAAAAGAAGAAAATTAAAAGTGAATACAGGAAAGAGTAAGGTTATGAGGATAACAAAAAGATTAGGTGATGAAAGATTGGATATCAGATTGGAGGGAGAGAGTATGGAGGAGGTGAATGTATTCAGATATTTGGGAGTGGACGTGTCAGTGGATGGGTCTATGAAAGATGAGGTGAATCATAGAATTGATGAGGGGAAAAGGGTGAGTGGTGCACTTAGGAGTCTGTGGAGACAAAGAACTTTGTCCTTGGAGGCAAAGAGGGGAATGTATGAGAGTATAGTTTAACCAACGCTCTTATATGGGTGTGAACCATGGGTGATGAATGTTGCAGCGAGGAGAAGGCTGGAGGCAGTGGAGATGTCATGTCTGGGGGGGCTGTGTGGGGTGAATAAATGCAGAGAATTATAGTTTGGAAGTTAGGGGAGGTGCGGGAAATTTCCCAAAACTGTTGCCCAGAGGGTGAGGAAGGGTTGTTGAGGGGGTTTTTGGCATGTAGAGAGAATGGGGGCGAGACAGAATTTTAAAAGAGTGTATGTTGAGTGGAAGGAAGGCGGGGAGGGTGGCTAGGAAAGGTTGGAGGGAGGGGGTTTGGAGGTTTTTGTGTGCAAGGGCTTGGACTTAGGGGCATGCGTGAGCGATTTTAGGGGGAAATGGAGAAAAGGTTTTAATATTGCGTGAAAAAAAGCAACATTTTTAAAGGGGATTAGGGAACCGGCGGGCCGGACTCGAGCCCGGAGATTGGGATTACAGTGCTGCACTCTGAGGAGGGGCGTTAATGTTGCAGTTTAAAAACTGTAGTGTAAAGCACCTTCGGGAAAGACGTGATGGAGTGAATGATGGTAAAAGTTTTTTTTTTTGGGCCCACCCTGTCTTGGTGGGAATCGGCCAGTGTGTTATAAAAAAAAAAAAGAAGTTTACGCACTCCCTATAAAGATTTGGGGCCTGTAAAACACAAAAAAAATTAGTTTTTACGGCTTCGAGAAGTTGTAACCAAATAGATTCATGGTGTCACTTTTTTTTTACATCTTGTCTAACACAAAAATTTTAATGTCTTTGACAAACTCCTACCCCACCCCCTTCCCTGTTGACCTGTCAGTGGGAATAATTTATGCTTGTATGTAAATTGTACATCTCTCTATTTTCGTTTGAGCCAGGTCTTTTTTTATAGCTGATATTTTTTTCCTGCATTGAATTAACTTACCATCTATCTTATTTCTTCACTCTGCTATTAGTATGTAGCCTTTTAAGGGAGCTTCCCCTTTTGCCCCCTGTGTCTCCCTTTTTTTGTGACCTGATCTGTTGTTTTTATTTATAACTTCATGATGAATGTCTTTTATCTTTACGTTTTAACCCTAGTGTTGAACCTGTTTTCACCAACCCCCCATACCTCTATATTCTTCGTTTAAAAACTAGGATTTCAGCATGGCCCCTCGATTGAGTTTGAAGTGATACCCCCCTGCCCAGAGAGATGTACCCATCCCTTGCATACATATTTGTTTGCCCCTAAAAGTTGTCCAGTTGTCAATGAATGGGATTGCAAGTTCCTTGCAGTTTCTGTCTGCCGCAATTTACACCAATTTCCCCGAGAAAACCCTCATTGCCCCCTCCCCTTCTAGGGAAAATGCTACATATGATTGGGACCCTCCCTTGAAAAAAATTACATTATGTGACGTACTTATTAGCAAATCTTCTTTACCCTTCCCCAAAATCTTTTCCCCAGATGGACAATAAAAGGGTTGTTCCCATTACCCGACATGTTTATTCAACCGTGCTATGTCCTAACACCGCTCCGGGAACACACACTTTCTTACTTTTATTCCCATTACGAAAGCATGGTCCTATATCTTTCCCGTGAGTACCAAACCCCAAATATGCACTTACTAGTTTTCGGGAAAGTGTACCTTTTCCTTCACTGGACTGAAGTCAGTCATCCCGAAAACAGAGAAGGTTTCTACTTCAAATCTTTTCTCTTAACTTTTCCATATTTTGATGCTTTCCAAACTGGGGAACCCTTGCCACTTGTAGCAGGTGCTGGACTGCACCTCACTGATTGGGGAGCCTTTCTACCTCCCCACCTACAGTTCCCTCGGAGAGAGAAGATGCACCTCACTTTTTCCCTATCCCTTCCCCTACTTTCCCCCCATGCCTTCTCCCCATCCCTTTTTTCCACCCTCACCATTGAGGTGACCCTTCAGCCTCCTAATTTCCTCCTGGAGAAGCAAGACTTCCTCCTTCAACTCTCCAACCTCAATTTTTAAAACATTGCAAAAGCAAGCCATGCTTTGTAACCGTCCACACTAATCCCCAAAGCAGCTCAGGGCCTGTGATCTCACGTGACGGTTGACCACTGACCACACATATGATAGAGTGCATAGGGGAGCAGTGTGGCAGATATTGCAAGTGTATGGAATAGGTAGTAAGTTACTAAATGCTGTAAAGAGTTTTTATGAAAATAGTGAGGCTCAGGTTAGGGTGTGTTGGAGAGAGGGAGATTACTTCTCAGTACAAGTAGGTCTTAGACAGGGATGTGTAATGTCACCATGGTTGTTTAACATATTGATAGATGGGGTTGTAAAAGAAGTGTTGAGGAGAGGGGTGGGATTAAATGATAGGGAATCAAATACAAAATGGGAGTTGACACAGTTACTTTTTGCTGATGATATTGTGCTTTTGGGAGATTCTAAAGAAAAGTTGCAAAGGTTAGTGGACGAGTTTGAGAGGGTGTGTAAAGGTAGAAAGTTGAAATTGAACATTGATAAGAGTAAGGTGATGAGGGTATCAAACAATTTAGATAAAGAAAAATTGGTTATCACATTGGAGGGAGGGAGTATGGAAGAAGTGAATGTGTTCAGATATTTGGGAGTTGACTTATCAGCAGATGGGTTTATGAAGGATGAGGTTAACCATAAAACTGATGAAGAAAAAAAGGTGAGTGGTGCTTTGAGATATCTGTGGGGACAAAAAATGTTATCCATGGAGGCAAAGAAGGGAATGTACGAGAGTATAGTGATACCAACACTTACATGGGTGTAAAGCTTGAGTTGTAAATGCTGCAGCAAGGAAGAGGTTGGAGGCATTGGAGATGTCATGTCTAAGGGCAATGTGTGGTGTAAATATTATGTAGAGAATTCATAATGTGGAAATTAGGTGTGGAGTTGCTAAAAGTATTAGTCAGAGGGCTGAAGAGAGGTTGTTGAGGTGGTTTGGTCATTGAGAGAGAATGGAACAAGGTAGAATGACTTGGAGAGGTAAATCTATAGGGAAAGGAAGGCGGGGTAGGGGTTGTCCTAGAAAATATTGGAGGGAGCGGGTAAAGGAGGCTTTGTGAGTGAGGAGCTTGGACTTGCACATGAGTAAATAGAATTATCAAAGCTTATTGCTTGGGTAGCATTGAAAATGGGGTTGGCAAATATTCTATTAGTGGGATGGATTGTGAAGGACTTGCCTAGTATGGGCTAACAGGCCTGCTGCAGTGTTTCTCCTCTTATGTTCTCACATTCTTACTTCCAGCAAGCATGCATGAGCGTGTTAGATTGGAGTGAATGGAGACAAATGGTTTTTGGGACCTGATCAGCTGTTTGAGTGTGAGCAGGGTAATATTTTGTGAAGGGATTCAGGGAAACCAGTTAGCCAGACTTAGAGTTCTGGAGGTGGAAATTAGAATGCCTGCACTTTTAAGGAGGGGTTTGGGATACTGGCTGTTTGGAGGGTGCATCGAAGCTGTTGTATCTGAGTGCCTCTTCGAAGACAGTGAGTATGCATGAATGATAGTGAAAGTGTTGAACGATGATGGAAGTTTTTTCTTTCTTTTTGGGTTTTTCTTTTTGGGTCACCCTGCCTTGGTGGGAAACAGCCAACATGTTAAAAAAAATGTACCGTACTGTATATACATTTGCATTATGATAAATGGTATAATTATATATGAAAAACATTCCAGCTAACTGTACTGGAGTGTTTTAAGACATTCCAGTGTGGCTCATGTTTAGTAGTAGAAAAAAAACAAATTTTAGTTTCCCATTCATATCCATAATAGGATTGAGATTTTTAATTTTTCTTTTCCGCTCAACAGACTATTCACTTCTTTGGGGACAAGACAGATAAAGGTGGTAACGACTATGAAATTTATAATGATCATCGCACCATTGGCCACAAAGTTACTTCTCCCGATGACACCAAAGCCCAGCTTAAGGAACTTCTGGGCCTTTAACATGATCTGCTTTTACATGACCTTGTTACCATGTACTGTTATTGCCTAATGTAGCTTGAAGAAAACTTTAAATGATGTCACATGCATTACCCTGATTTTTTTTTAGGTGATTAGAGTCAAAACCTAAATCTTCTATTAATTACATTAAAAATATTTGTTCAGTATGTGCATGAAAAAAGAGAAGGTATCTAGAATTATCAGAGATCATGCATAGCTTCCTCTTGTAAGGAAAAAAGAGGACGAGTGAATGTAAAAAAATTAAGGGGATAAGCCTGTTGAGAATACTGGGTAATTTGTAAAGTTGAGTTATTGATAAAGTTAGAAGTAAGACAAATTAGAATTGCAGAGGGTAGGGGATGTGTAAACCAAGTGTTTACAGTGATGCATATAAGTGAACAGTACTGAGATATGAATAAAGAGCTGTTGCATTTATGAATTTAGATAAGGTATGTGGTAAGGTTGATAGGGAAGATGTGTTGCAAAATGTTTGGAGGTGGGGAGAACAGTACCTGCAATCTGAAGGACTTGTGAGGATGTTGCAGTCATGGGGTAATCTGAACCATGATGTCAGCACACTTGGAATAACAGAGATTGAATGAATGATGGTGAATATTTTTTTTCTGGATCACCTACTTTTGTAGGAGATGGCCACTGAGGTAAAAAAAAAAATTATTTTTATGAATAGAGACCATGTGTGATTATTTTATGAATTTTATTTTTACAACTGTCTTTAAAATAAGTTTTTGTTTATTTTAACTGTTCATGCTGCTGTCGCTGGCTGGTCTTCACTCTTCTGCATCTTCCTTAGAAATTATTAATATATTACGATGTTGTGTTTTGCACCCCACTTTTGCTTATTCCATAAGGCACGTGTATTATATTTAGAAACCATCACAAACTTTTTCATTTATCTTGTATTAAATATTGAAGTGAAGACTTTCTTTTCTCAATACCACTTGGTGGCTGTGGAGAAGCTGTGAATAACAACAACACTTTAAAACAAACAGTAAATTTATTTTCAAAAAATTTAA